GGGAGGTACGTAAGCTCTAATTTTTCTGAACTACAAAAAGTAACTGTGTCTAACTACTTAAACTAAAGATATCGTTGGTGAAAAAATTGTGAAAAAAAACAGCAACAAGTTCATGCCGTATAAAAATTTCCAAATGTACCACAAAAGAACTCCCTACAAGATATAAGGCAAATTTATAATTAATTAGAACTCTAAACTAAAAGAAGTTAAACCAAATCAAGGCAGGGAAGAATGCAAGAAATAAAAACTGAGATTATTTGCAATTACTTATCTCTTACCCTCCATAACCCGCATTCATGTCCATTACATTTCGCACGCTTGACCAATTAATAGCAAGCCCATCCAAATAAACATCTGACACAAGCGCAGACCAATGTTTGGTGTCCTCGGAGAATATTTCTTCAGCATCTGGTTCAGTTGGGAGACTTGGAGGTTTACTGCTGAGTCTCTCAGGCCAGGAAGAGGGCCATTGATACAAGTTACCGTTGTTATCAACCGGAAGTCTGGAAAGACATGTGCTAAGAGGTTCATACCTACGTTGTAAAAATGCAAATTATTAATAGGCAGAACGGTAATGTAGGCATACTATGTGATTGAGATGGATCCTGGCTGATATATGGGTTCTATAGTCTCCTTTTGCATGTGCAGGGGTGTACTTCTATACTGCCAAGATGGAGATAAGACATTAAAAGATTACCAAGAACTGTTGTGGTCATCTTTCTGATCACATAAAGGTGGATTATCTTCTTTGCGTTTATTATAGCAGGAATACGAGTCTGGCTTCTGATAGATTACAAGACCAATTCCTGACAGATCAGAAGTCTTAGCCACAACCTTCCAGCACATGGCTTCAGTTAAAGTTACCATAGCTGCAAGAAAAATGGAATATGAAGATCCAACTTAGATCAAGCTCACATATGCAAGGTTCTGTAATGAATATATTCCTGGGAATGATGATTCTCCAATAATAGGATATCACAGGGCAAGTATTATAAATAGGAGGGGAGAGGAGGGAGGGGAGGGGTACTCAGAAGGAAACGGAAATGCTTACAAACCATTCCAAATATTACGATCCCTTTCATCATCTCTGTAAACTGGCGTGGCAGACCATACAAAAAAACCTCCTGGCCGAAGAATTCTGTTCAGCTCCGACAGCGGCTTTCCCCCTGCCATTTTCAAGAAAAAACAACATTATCAAAAGAAGAATTCTTATTTGGGTAGTAGAGAGAAAATCAACGTAAGTAAAAGAATCGCATAACGGAAAAAAGGACTTCAAACCAAACAAAAGAGTTTATGCAAAATACCATCTGCGTCCCAGTGAACTCTGCATCTTGCACAGTGAATTAAATCATATGCATTACTTGGAAATGTAAGCTTTTGTGTGCCGATCACAGAAAGTGTAGCAGGAATTCCTCGCTCCAGAGCAAACTGTATCTGAGCTTCATGTTCATCCTTTGGGGCAAATGACATGGTAATTACATTTTTGTCCAACAAATAACCACCAAAGCTCGCAACACCACAGCCAACATCCAGAATAACTCTAATGTGCTTCCCCCATTGAAGAACTGGTAAAGTCTGAAGCAGAAAAGAAAGTAAAATAAGGACAGCACTCAATGAGGAAGTCATTATGCAGCTTAATGCTGAACAACGATGTACCACATTGTCCTAAAGAAAGTGTACACCAAATTAAAAGAACAACTGAAAGTTGAAAAGTTTTTCAACAGTATTGCACGGATGTAATATTTAAAAAAGATATTTACGCTTGCATATCTGCTTCATACCTTCTCTATAAANNNTGATGAAAATAAAGAAAGCAATGCCCAAACATGAACATCTACTTGACAGAAAAATAAGAATTACCCTTTTTCAGTTCTGAGTCCATTATAAGATGCACACATTATGAACCCTAAATAATGAGTATACCCAATATGCGAACCAGAGAGCTCAAACCCTCTTCCTCTTAGAGAGGAAGAGGAGCACCAACAATCCCTGCTAAGTGCAGTTAATAGGCTAAGCTAGTACAGATCAATACAATTTTGTCTTTGGCATTTCCTTGGTTTGTCCATAGATAGCAAAAAACATTGGGTTTTGAGCACTGTTTCTAGAAAGTAGAGTCTTAATGCAGTGTTCCCATTTTGGTTTAAACTATATAACAACCCCAATTTGGCAATTCAACATTACAGAAATTGTAAGCAACGGAATATACCAACGCATTTTGTAGTCACATTATATGGTAGCTAATAAGCATCCACTTCACTGAATTTCTAAGATACTATTAGGTTATGTTTGACTCGATTTTGACTATATACCCAGATCCAATTAACTACTGCAAGCCTAAAGGAGACTTCTCTCTTTTAAATTAAATAAAAGGCCAAATAAGGCACCAATCGGCTCCATTTGCATTCTCAGCCTTGCTTACGGAAAGGGCAACCCATTAAACAATTCTTCCTAACTGATTCAGCTCGTACTCTAAAAACTGAAAAGTAAATTAGACAAAGAATCCAATAAACAACTATAAACAAATCTTACCAAAACCTATCAGCCTCACCATGTCCCTGCTCTTCGGCCAAGGAACCGGCATCTTATACCCTTTTGGCAAAGGCAGCAGACACCGCGGACTTGGCTTCGGACAATGCCTCTCTCTGTGCTCCATATGCCGTCTTGACTTCAACGCTTTGATCGCCTCATAGTTATCCAAACAGGGTATGTAATCAACATTCGCTGGCGCTTGGCACAATTCCCATTGGAAGCTCGCATCGTCAACCGAGCTTTCGTTGCTAGGAAATAACGCGGAAACGGCGTCGTCTTGTACTGAAACAACCGGGGTTCCAATGGTGGCGTTTTCAGGATTTTGGATCGTGGGTGTCGGTTGCAGATCGTTGGAGATGGAGAAGTCAGGCGATTTGGCGTAGTTGTTGGTGAAGAGGAAAATAGTAACGAATATGAGCAGTGCTGAGAGACCGGAAACGACGACGTTGTGTACGGATACCGCGGCCATGGTCCTGTTCTAGCAGAGATTGATAGTGGGAGGTTCCCTGTCAGCAGACTAGTGAAGGAGCTTGTCAAAGATTCAGTGAGCTACAGATTTTGAGAGAGAAAGAGATAGATGTGGTTAAAAAGGATGGTAAGTTTTAAAAAGTAGTTACATTACGATTAGAACCAAAAAAAAAAAAACATTCTTTTGAAGGAAAGGTAAGAGTTTTTTTTTGTTTTTTTGACCTTATTTAAAGTTTACATTTTTCAATTATATTTATATTTATTTTTACTTTTAAATTACAAAAAGGAATAATTATTTATTTTCAGTATATTTAAATTAGATTGAATTTAAAATAAATTATTTTTTTTAAGTAAGACCAATTCAAATTATTTTAATTTTTTAATAATTTATGTTAAATTGAATATTAATCTATAATAATAAATAACAACCTTGTCAACTCTGCCTAATCACTTTTGATGCGTATGTTCTCTTTTCATAGTCTGTGTTCAAAGTTCATTAAACATGATAATTACATGTAATTATAAGAAATTGGTAGGGATTATTTAAGCTAAAAAAGTTACAGTGATTAATCAGAAAATTGGAAATTCTTTAACCCATTTTACACATGGAAACTATTCAATAAATTTTCAAAAACATAAAAAGAAAAATATGAACCCAAAACATGTAAAATGAATTGTTACTCAGACCAAGTTTGCTGGGGCTAGTGATCAGATGATTGGCACTCTCCTTCCATGGCCTTGGCTTTAGCCTTCTATGCAAAGCTATGGACGCCAGAAACTCTTCTGACCGACCAGAAACTGGTGCTGGTAAAGTTTCGTCGACCAGTGAAGCGAGCGGAGAACTGGATTAAGCTTCTTGAACATTTCCATGGTGTCTTGAACCAAAAAATATCCTCCTGGTCTCACCATCCGATCGATCTCCACAACTACGTCTATTATGTCACATCTAAAATGGGAAACCAATGTGTAAATCAAAAGGCAGAAGTATTATTAGCTCTAAAACACAAGCTTTGGGAATCATTTCATCAGAAATTTTTTGTTATATTGTATGGAAGTCCTTGAGTGTGTTACTTATTTTTAAAAAGTATGAGTCCAAATGTAACTATAATTATACGAAAGTCTTCATTATAATTTATTCACAAATTTATCAATTTAACAGAAGCTATAATGAAAAGGTACCTTTGGGTAAGGTTACTGAAGAGAAAACTTGAATGTAGTAGATCATATGATCGCGGGTAAGTACTGAAAGACTCACACCAGTCGTGATAGATTCCAATCAACCCTCTGTCAAAAATGATGGAGAGTGTGTCTTGTGAATCAATGGGGATGACATTCATAACCCAGAGAGGCAGATCAATAAGTGCCGCAGCAAAGCTGTAAAGAACAAGCCTATTATTCAGTTTAAAAAGCCATAGCAGCAGAGCCAAGAAGCAGTTAAAAACTGATAACTAGGTATAAAATGGCCAAAAGAAGACTGCTTTGTGTAAGAAATTTGCAACTCTATTTCTTACCCTCCATAACCAGCATTCATGTCCATTACATTTCGAACCTTCGACCAGTTTATAGCGAGTCTATCAAGATAAATGTCCAAAACAAGTGCCGCCCAATGTTTGGTATCTTCATAGAACAGTTCCTCCGCATTGGTTGAAAGGCTTAGAGGTTTGTTTCTGAGCCTTTGAGGCCATGGCAATGGCCAGTTTCGGAACTTGCCCTTGCTATCAACTGGAAGTCTGGAAAGACAGCCACTTAGAGGAACATACCTATCTCACAAAAAACATATAAAAAGCAATTTCAGCATATTTATGTTGCGTTTGGTTCAATCCCCCTTTAACTTCTACATAATTTCTTATGCTAATTTTCATATTAGTGCAATATAAGTAAAAGTAGAGATTGATTAGAATTTAATAAGTATTTAACCAAATCCAACCTTAGAGTTTAGATAGTTAAATCTGAATCAACACTATTAGAGCACAATGTCACATAAATGTTGCTTGGTTTGATGTTGAAGCTTATGAATACTAATGGAAGTGTGTGTTAGTCCACATGGAATGGAGATGATAGGTTCCAGTTTCCAAAAGATTACCAGGAAGGATTCTGATTATCTTCCTCATCACACAAAGGTATGTTGTTGTCTTCATGTTCTTCATAGCAGGAATTCGAGTCTGGCTTCTGATATATTACAAACCCGACTCTTCCAAATCTAGTCTTGGCAACTGCCTTCCAGCACATTGATTTCGTAAGAGATACCATGGCTGCAAGACAGATGAAACGGAAACATCCAATTTTGATTAACGGAAACTCTAAAGCTGCATTGCAAACCTATAAATTCTACCGGCACAATAAATCAATTAGTGAGACTATGAGCTATGAAGTGCTTAACTCATCCGGAAGAGTTCACCCAAAAAAAAAAGTCATCTGGGTGAATTAATGGAAGCAAAAAATTGTATATGAAGTTTGATAAAAGGAAAAGTAGAGGCAGGGTGATCTTCACTAACAATTCCAAACATTACGATGTCTTTCATCATGTTGATAAACTGGTGTAGCAGACCATACGAAGAAACCTCCTGGCCTAAGAAGCCTGTTGAGCTCCAAAAGTGGTTTCCCACCTGCATTTTTCACCCAAACTTTTTCCTCAAATGTTGGAAGAAAGATTAGAATATATTGAAAATAAATCAAAAGTACAATACAGAATTCAGACTGCAAATCTTTGCTAAGAATTCTATTAGTCCATTCTGAGAAAGATAACTGGAGTACCATTTGCATCCCAGTGAACTCTGCAACGTGAACAATGAATCAAATCATAAGCATTACTAGGAAATGTCAGCTTCTGTGTTCCAATCACAGCTAGAGTAGCAGGTAATCCACGCTCTAAGGCAAACTGTATCTGAGCTTCATGTTCATCTTTTGGGGCAAATGACATTGTGATTACACCTCTCTCCATCAAATACCCACCAAAGCTAGCAACACCACAACCAACATCTAGAACAACTCTAATGTTCTTTCCCCATTTAATTACTGGTAATGTCTGGGTTAGCGAAACAATAAAACAGAAAACAGAATGGAAAAGTTAGCAAAAATAAAAGGTCCTATTAATACAAGCAATTGATAGGACTTTTCTGTTTTTCAAATACTCAATACATGGTATAGAGTTTGAATATATTGCCCCAAGTTTTAATTTAAAAGTAAATTCAGCATAAGGTTTGGAATGCCAGTGATCAGGGCACACATTGTTTCCTACTAAATTAAGTTTAAACCGGTTCAACTTTATTATTTAATATACTCAAATCGGAACAAAGATTTTCAGCGGAAGATCAGAGGAAATTGCATCTTAATTACCTTTTGTAAAAAGTCGATGTAATTGGTAACTCCATCTTTAAACTGAGTTCCTCCTCCAGGAAATACCAAATACTGACCAGACTTGCGAACCCAGTTCTGGTCTTTCTTGTACTCAACAAGCTTTGGGTGGGGAACGTTATCATACCAAATCTATATTTTTTGAAAAAGATAAACAAAGAAATCATAATCATGCCATCAAAGCAGTCCAACAAATTAAATCATAAAACAATATTTTAACAAGACAACAAAAAGTGTTTATAGGTAGCTAAAAATTTGTTAATATTACTATGTCAAACTAACTGAGGTTTTCACACCTCAGAAAACAGAGTAAGACTCTGGTTCTTCCTCTGTATTGAAAATCATAAAAATGGCGATATAACCAACACTGACGACAGAGAACCAAGCATACCAATAAATGAAACAAGCTTTGAACGCATGAGACAATGGCGTTAACGTATGAAACTAAGTAGCAGTAAAAGATTTCAACAGGAAAAAAAAAAAAAAACAGAAATAAATCTTACCCAAAAAGTATCAGTCTCACCATGTCCCTGCTCTTAGGCCACGGAAGGGGGATCTTATACCATTTAGGCAAAGGCACCAAGCACTTGGGAGTCGGCTTTGGGCAATGCCTCTCTCTATGCTCCATATGTCTTCTAGATTTGAGCCTCTTGATTGCCAGCATGTTATCCAAACACGGTATAATATCCACCGCCACCGTCCCTTTACACCTCTCCCACTTCACGCTCAACCCACCATTCCCATCATCGAGGTCAGCTTCCCCGTCATCGCCAGCGTCGTCATGAGCATTTATAAGTGTAGGAATTTTCTCAAACGACAAGGCGTCGTTCCGAGATCCGGGAGAGAAAACGGTGACGTTTTGAGGAAGAGGCGGCCGTGGCTGTGGTGGTGGTGGTGGTTCAAGGGCTGAAGAAGAATAATATCGTTGGAGGTCGGAGAGAGATGAGATGAAAGAGAGGCGGGTAGTAGAGGTGTTGATCGTGATGAGAATAACGACGGCGAAAAGGAGTAAGCCCGAGAGCGCGAAAACGAAGGGGAGCTTTCTCTCGGTGAAGACGCTTCGGACTGACATTTTTGCAGGTTTCTGCGACTGAGTTTTGTAGATTGTGTTCAAATCTATAAAGAAAGGGATGATGATGACGATGATGATATGGTGAAGTATGATGTTGTAAGAGAGAGGAGACTAAAAATGGAAAATGGGAAGGGTCAAATTCGAGTAAGCAGAGTAGATAACACGTCTAGTAGTCTAGTGGAAGCAAAGAGGAGCTCACCGTAAAGGAAGCAAAGCTAAGCTAAGCTCTGGTTCTGTTCTAGCCATTCTCGTCAATGCTAGTAATGGCCCAGAGGACGAATAGACGCTGATTTCCACTTTGTTAGTTGGCGGAGAAAAGAATCGGTCTGAAGTCAGGTTTAGATTTTACCCCTCTGTAAAAGTCCAGACTCCCATTTGGCTAACCTTAGTTAATCTTTGTCAAGACGATGATCCCGTCAGATCTGAAATGTCGTTAAACATGGAAAGTAGGATTTGAAATGCGTTTGCTTAGATACAATGAATTAAGGAGAAACGTTTATTCGACAGATTAAATTTCCATAATATTTTAACCGAAAAACAAGGAATAACATCAATTCATTTTTGTCAAGACGAAGATCCCGTGTCGTTAAACATGGAAAGTTTTGAATTTGGTTCGTGTAGATCACTGAATTTGCGAGAAAGGGAATTTGTTTATTTGACTGAATAAATTTCCATATTTTAGTAACCGAAAAAGAAGCAGTTAATCCAAAATGGAAAAACGAAACGTTGAAGGCAGGACCTGCGCGGGAAAGCCTAACAGATTCGACTTTGTTTTGAAGGTATCGAGAAGGCTCAAGCAGCAAAAGAGAAAAAGGAGAAGAGAAAACCACGTCGACAGCAGGATTCGAACCTGCGCAGGCAAAGCCCAACAGATTTCGAGTCTGTCTCCTTAACCACTCGGACATATCGACTTAATTGTTATCAAGGTAACCATAAATATTTATAGAGAGGTCTCACCGTGTAGTCAGGCCTCTTCTGTTTCTTTTCAACGCCATGTTAACTAATCTGGAAGCTGAATTCTTTAGCAAAAAACAAAAGATTCAGAAATATTGTTTTCCTGTGAAAAGTTATTAAGATGCAATATATAGTTTTAGAGGAAGAAATAGTGATAGACTAAAGCTCACAAAATTAATTATAAATATTATTTTTTTCAATTGTTAGATTTTAATATTTAAACTAATTGTAGTTTAACCATTAAAATTATAAAATATAGATTTATAATAAGACTATCTTTTTTTTTTTTTATAGATGTGTTAAAGTTGGAGTGAGTCATAACAAGGCTAAATAAGTACTTTCGGAACAAATATCAAAACATTTAAAGCGAAAGAGTTTTGATGATAGAAAGAAACCATTTTGCAACTTTTTCTTTTTGAACTTAAGCAAGAAGGAATTTTGATAATGCATACCTACGGATAAGAATATATATATCTATATATATATATAATATTTGTTTCAGTAATTTTTCAGTTTATAAGTATGTTTTTATTAAGCATATATTATCTATACTGTTAGTAAAAATAAAATTATATTCTAATTATTTTACATTTTCTCTTTTAAGTTATATAATTTTTATATTAACGGTGCGTCGAGAAACCAATAAATTAGCAATCTTCATTAATTCGATAATTATTACATCAATCCACACATCCTGTCCTTCTTTGCCCGGAAAAAATTTTAAGCGCGCACAAATAGTCTCTCTCTCTCTCGAGTTAATTATTTCCAGTACGTCGCATTAGTATGGCGAGTATTGCAGCGGCGTCGGGGGTGGAGGCGCTAGGGCTGATCAGCCTGATCGTATCGTCGGCGAGGAATGCTACGATGCATCGCAGGAATTGCGAGCAGCTTGCGGAACACGTGAAGGTGATAGGAAACTTGCTGGAGCAACTGAAATCGACGGACCTGATGGCTCTGCCGGCGATTCGAGAGCCGTTGGATGGAATGGAAGAGGCGTTGAAGAGAGCGTTGGAGCTGGTTAAGAGTTGCAGAGAGAAGAGCTGCCTCTACATGCTTGCCATGGGATGGAGCGTAGTGTATCAGTTCCGTCAGGTTCAGGACGAGATTGACCGGTACCTTAGGCTCGTACCGTTGATCTCGCTTGTACATGAATTCTGCCTGCAGGTGCGTTGTATCGAGCACTATCATATATATATATATATATATATATATATATCTCACTATTCGTGTATATGTATGGTCAAGTCGTTAGGCACTACTAAGTACTCTCTTCTTCCTTTTAACTGCAAATATATACGTATACCTATATATACACACACTTACCTGCAGATAATTATGACATTTAATTTTGAAATTTACATCTGGATTCAAAATTGGAAGACAGCTATTAGATTTGACATTTCTGCAACAAAAACAGTTTGACGTTTTTGAAAAAGTGAATTCAATCGTGCTCGATATTCAACGTGAAAATTTTTGTTTTGCTTTGGTCCTAACAGAAAATAATATCCGAAGGGAATTGTTAGATACGATAAACATCGTAGAAGTGGCCCACCGTGCAATAAGAACAGCGTAGATTCTTACTACTATTCTGGATAGCCTGAGTACAACAGCGAATTATTGAAAATATTGTCGGTGCCAAGATCAAGCACCCAATTAATGGATTAGTTATAATCCACACATAATGATCAATTCACTAAATAATTAACTTAAATTTCGTTTCACCTAGTTATGATGTATAGAAAAAGTAAATATTCTATGATATATAAATTCTTTTAATTAAAGTAGTTATAATAAATTAAGAATCTGATTTGTATATAAAAAAAAAAACTGATAAATCTGAAATAAATTGTTATAATTCTCTATGATATCGTATTTTTTCCTTTCTGACTTCTTATAAAATTTATGTCTTAGTTAAACTAATTTAAGGAAATTTATAAAGAAATTATATTAAAGTTTTAAATATACTTTAAACATAGCCTAATTAGTTGTATTGTTTTCAAGGATCTAACTAACATAGTGTAGTGCCTAATTAACAGAATATGAAGGAAGGTCTGAAAGTAATAGAAGAGGATCAAAGAGAATACAGTCTTGATGGAAAAGATGTAGAAGCACAGAGCGTGATATTAAAACCAGACAGAACAAAGAAGGACGCCGCCATTTTAGAGAAGTCACTCTCCTGTAAATATCCTGAATTAGGGTTCTACCAGGCTCTCCAAGAAGAGAAAGAGAAGCTCCATGTCGAGCTGCAAAGATCTAGAACCCTAAACGACACCAAGCAATGCCGTATCATCGAACATCTTATTGATGTGACTGAAAATGTTGTGAATGTGCTACCGGGGAAGAAGGTGAACAAGCTTCTTGTCAATGAACCAACATATGTCATTTCGGGGTAAGTATTATTAACAAGTCAAATGAAATTTTAATTGGAATTAATAAATTAAAAAATAAGTTATATGCTTTAGTTAATCAATGAACAGGTATATGTCTAATGCAAAAGCCAGCCGTGGAGCACTTGGGTTAAAACCTGACGAGGATCAAGGTCTAAGTGAATGGCAGGTTGATCTTTTCGATTGTTGCAGGGAGCCTTGTTTGAGTAAGTTTCTTGTGGAGTTTCTTATAATTAGGAAGGAAACTCAAAAATATTAATAAAATTAACCATTGACTATGTGGGTTTAATTTTAAATTATTTGGATTTCTTTGTATAATAAACTATAAGATTTAACTCATCTCTGTATCTTGATTTTCTCCCTTCAGGCTTGAAGGCCTGCATTTATCCCTGTGGAATATTTTCGAGGATAGCAAATGCGGTCTCGGGAGGAAAAATATGTAAGATTAATGTTGAACATTTCGAATGGAGCTGTCATAAAAACATGTATAGATATGAACATCATCCTTTACCTAAATGGTTGATATCTCAACTTCTTCTTTTAAAAAAATTGTGAGTTTTAAATTCATCATCCTTTGATTATATTGTTTTCCTATTAGAATATTGATTGTGTTCTTATTAGTATAAATATGCTAATTAATTATTAAAATTTATGAATTTCTAAATAAATAAATAAAAATACTAACACGGACACATACATAATGCAAGTTGGTAACTATTGTCTGTTGATGATTTTCTTCCCATTTGTAAGTACAGCTCGTGAGAAAGCAATCAACGACCTAATGGCCTACTCTCTCCTCTGTGGATGTTGCTGTTATTCTTGCTGCGTGAGGACAAAACTGCGAAAAAATTTTAACATAGAAGTATCTTCTTCTCAAATTTCTTACTGCAGTCACTTTGTTGCTAATAGTTGAACAACTATTTAAGTATAGTTTCATAACATATAATTCTTAAATTTAAAAGGAAAAAAAAAAAGTAGTAAAGAGATGAAGTCTAGCCACCATTACAGTAAAATGGTTCAAGAGTAGAGCACGGTAATTTCAGTTTAATTGGTTTTGCAGGGAGGGGTATGCGATGATTTCTTAACACATCTCGTGTGTTTTTGCTGTGCAATGGTTCAAGAGTGGCGTGAGCTTGAGGTCCGAGGCTTTGCAGGTAAGTTGAAAATTCTCTTTTGTCCCTAAACTCACTGTCATGGGCTCCAATCTACTATTTACCGAAAACCAAGATCTAGTTTCTTCCCACAATATAGTGCTTTTCAAAACATTGGCATTCCTAGCTGACCAGCCTAAGTAGGAGATATTTTATGATGTCTCATAGGTATAATGCCACATACTAATTCAATGCTACTTTTAACATTAGGAATTTTCTCGGGCCTTTTCTGCTCCTATTAATCACAAATTGGTTTCTTTGCAGGTTGTCAGGGAAGAAAGATGATTCCTCCACCTTATCAGTATATGAAGCCATGAATGCCCTCATTTTGTGATGACATGCAGCAACTCTGTAAAGTATAGATAAGGAGAGCGAAAATACGAGGATATGGATAGATTATATTCTATGATATCTATGTTTATGAAAGAACTACCTGTCTGTAACAAATGAAATTAGCAACAATACATAAAAATTAAACCATATTCTCATTTTGACTAGTACTTGACATTTTGTGCTTATTTGAGGCTGTTTCAGCAAAAAGTGCTTAAGAAAATAATGGTGATTGATGAACCAAAATTATTTTATTTTCAAGAAACTAGTACAAACCTACAATGGAAGGAACCTACCTAAAAAAGTGAAGATCATATCTTAAGCCCTAGATTCCAAAATCTGCCAAGTATCTCTATGAGAACATCCATCCAGGAAGGCAGCGGACTTATGTAGGAGGTAAGAGTAAGTGATGGGACTATTGATAGAGAACAGGCTTGACAAAAGTACCAACAAGGACTTAAAAGACTTAAAAATTGAAAAAATGCCGCGAATATCCCATACAGACTTGTGCAATAGCTCAGGAAACAGAAACAGTAATTGTGTGGTGAGAGAACGGTATCCATATAGTATTAGCAGTAGGTAGGATCAGTTGAAATGCACTCAGCTAGGAGGAGGCCCTGGTTGTGGCTGAAATTTGCATCAAGTGCCAATAAGTAAGAATTATTTCCTCACCTTTGTGAAAGTAAACTATAATTCAGCTTTTTGCACTGGAGAATCATCATTCCAGGTCGGGAAGAACCAACGGAACAGTGGTGATAACTTACTGATCACAGGTTTCTGTTTTTGTTCTTCAGGCTTAATACTGCAGAGTGTATTGTAGTCATGCCTCATGTGAGGAGTTGCTATTCTTTCCTGAAGGGATCAAAAGGAAGTCATACGGTGAGAGGAATAGAACAAGCTATCATCTATGTATAAACTGGATGTAGATGCTGTGGTACCTTGAAAACTTCGAAAGGACAAATATCACTTTGATTACAGCCCTGTTAAGGAAAAGATGGAACTAATAAACACCAATAAAGGGCAGGCACAATTATGATCGATCAAATCCTAAAGCAGTTGAAAAGTAGTGAAATTTATAAAAGATGAAAGGAGTGCACGCATATTTTAGTTTATTAAAACTTTAAAGCAAATTTCATATTTTTAATAATCATAAATAAAAAACAACAGTCAGAGCTTACCGGCACTGGGATGGGATGTTCATTGTGCAGAACTTGCACGAAGTACTCACTTGAAGAATTAGCTGGGCAACTGTATAGAACCAGCATGTTATTCCCACCAAAAGGTGCCACAGTGCTGCCCCTCCAATTTCTTTTCTTGGGAGGCTTTGGAGGGAGTTCCAGAGGTTGTTCCTTCTGTATTCTTTGGAATTCTGAAATATTTGAGAACTCATTAAGAAACAAATTCTAGCAGAAGCTCATACCCAATTCAATATGTTTTGGTATGGAATACTTAAAATATACACACATGCAAGCAACACATCTCTGAAGGCAATTTAAAAGCCAAGGCACTCACCACTTTCATATACACACACATACACATCATTGAAGGCAATTTAAAAGCCAAGGCACTCACCAGATCCTTCAAGGAAAAGACCAAGAAGACACGAAAATGGAACCACAGTTTCTGCATGTGCAAACCTAAGCCTCGCCTTCTCATAACTTCCAGGAACAAGATTTTCTACAAAAATAAGAGGAAGAAATAAATATCAGCAACTGGATCCATCTTCTGGTGAACCAAACTGCTAGTCCTGGTGAACAAGATCTTTTACTTTTCTCTCTCTCCTGCTCCCAAAACCCAGACATGCAAAAATACTTCATCTATGACTAAAAAATAACTCGAATTTCCAATAGCTCTCCGAAATAATAGCAATACTTATGGGTCCAAAAAGAAATGGATGCTTGATTCAGATCATATTTGGAAGCACTTGGGACATATATATGGAAAATCTTGAACACCAATAGCAACAAGGTAGAAAATATTTGCAACAACTACATCCCTAAAAGAACAAGGCTGCCAGCAATAGTTGGTGCCACGCCCCAGATAGTTACCAACACTACAACAAGATGAAAATTCCAAAAATATTTAGAAGGCAGTACGACATAGAACCCTTCATCAGGTCTTTTGTCAGAAAAAGATTAACAATGTAGCAAGCGAGATAGACGAATTGCGGAATGCAAGAATGAGAAATAAGGACCAGAGCACTAAAAGTTTATACAATTTTCCAGTACCTTCTTTAGCCTTGATTGCTTCTTCCATTGATTGTATAACATCTTTAAGAAGTGGCACTCCCATTCTGTAGTTTAGTGATGTACCATAACCCTTTAGTATAAACACCTCCAAGTCATCTGCCCACTCCAGCAAAGCAACCTTAATATGCAAGCATATCATGCAAAACAATTAGTATAAAGCATAAAAAGGACACAACAAAACACTATTACCAATGAAAATCATAGGAAAGAAATATTCTTGAGATACTCGTGATTCAACCACAAACAATCTAACAGAAGTTTCTGAGTTTGAGGTAGAAATAGGTAAACAAAATTATTAATGTGCAAAAAAAAAAATTAGTAAGATCACATGTCATTTACAAGTTAAGAATTTCATGCACAGCAACATACAATGATGGAAACATAAACTATGCAAAACAATGCTGGATAATATAGACCGCCTGCACCTCATCAGGACTGAAGAGCCCACAAGCTTGATCAGTAATATCCAATAAGGATGCTTCCTGCAAAATGAAGAATTGTAGTAAAACAGGTATGCCTCAACTAAGCAAGTAGAAGAAAATTAGTTTTATACTCATGAGACAATAGAATCTGTTTCCTAATAGATATTCCAGAACTGCAGACAACAATCACCTGTTTGCATAAAAACCATAGAGAAGAAGTATCCTGTCTTGTGAAGTTCAGCTGAAATTTTTTGGTTAATGCTGATGTTATTTCATCCAGGATAGGTTCCTTAAGCTTATCAACTGCAGGCTCGTGATTCTTCCTAAACGACTGCGTCCATATAAAATATTGATGAAAAACAAAGCAACTAGACAAGCAGTGGAAGAAAAAGAAACTGCACACTAGTATCTTGACTAAAGATCCCTCTGCACATGTCTAAATTTCTCTTCTTAACTTTCTTTCAACATCTAATAGATTCCATGTTGGATATCAAAAAAAGGATTTGAGTCTGTCCAGCAAAACTCATACCTTGTAGCTTTCACAACAATCAAAAAACCTCAGTTTTATATCACTTGCACGGCTTTCACTTGTAACAGCAAAAGCCCGATGCTTTCCCGGCCCTAGACCTCCTCTCTCACTAAACAGCCCCATACCAAATGCCACAGCACTAGCAGATGCCCGAGGAACCTATCTCATCAGAAAAGAGAGAGATGTGTTAGTAGATTAAGAAAGAAAGATCACAATGAGATAAGGACCCTAAGAAAATAGGTAGACATAGGTACTGTATGCAAGGCACTCAACACCAAAAGCAAGCGAGTGTTAGATATAGCTAACCTGTGTAGCCTTTATGGGATAAACATCTGGGTGGTATTCGTCACTAAACAGACCAGGAAATCGTTCTCTGATCCTTTTCCCAAGTTGATAGAGCTCCTCTTCCCCTTTGCTAACCAATTCCCCACCCTTCAATTTTCCTTTCCATGGAGATTCCCATTCCCTTAACCAAGCAGGAAGTTTTTCCAAAGACGATCTCTTCTTTTCCACATCTCTAATCAGTTCTTTTATATGAAGAGCCAATCTCTCTAACTCTCTCATCCTTTTTTTGGTTGGAGAACGAGTGCCATGTCTTGCCTGTGATACAGAATTACTATCGGGTTGTTTCCATTAAAGGCTTACAATAACACAAGATAGCATCATCTTAATAATTACACTAGCACGGCATTGCAAGAGTAACATAAATGATACCTTTTCTTGAAATAAAAATTATCATGTTAACAAATGATACTTTTAATAGAGGATAACCAGTAATGGGAAAACAAAAGGTAAAGTGATAAGTTAATATAACATAAGACATGGAATTTCCATAACAAACTTAAATACAATAAGTTAAAGACAGTAACACTCACAATCAACATATTTTTTCTTAGGTCCAATTGTACGACCATGATGAATTTCTATAATAGATAGTCAGAAAAATAAAAAGACATGTATGTAGTGCTTCATGCATGCAGTAGAAATAAAACTAACAGATAGCCCAACCAACATATCAATACGAACACAATTTGCTTACTCATCCATCATCTAATAAAATTCATTCATTCTCTAATAAGCTATAAGCATGTCTTATGCACTAAAATTTTGCAAATGGTTTTCGTCAAACTTAACAATTTAAACCATCAAAGTCAAAGGCCAAAAACAAGATTTTCCATTTGCATGCATATTCCATCACCCAATAAATAATGCATTCTTTCTCAACTAAACTATAAAGAAATCTCATGCAATAGAAACCAAGACTAGATATTATCCAATTAAAAAAGGCAAACCATCAAACTGAAACATCAGGAAAAAAACGGCCAATAAAACTTACAATAAGGTTTAAGTGGATAGGATTACACCCATCCGGAATTTTAGATGGTATAAAGGAACTGGGAGCAACATTTTTCATTACACCATATCTGCACGGAAAATATTCCAAAATCAAGAACAATTAGTAAAATAGCTATGAGCTCATTTCTTCTCCATAACAACAATACTAAGCAATTAATGAATGTCTTAGGATCTATTCAAACGGAAATTCCATTTTTATGATAGAAAGAAGAAACGAATGTGTACAATTCAAAATGTTATCCCAATTTTTTTTTCCCTCTATTATCAGGGCAACCAAACAGAGGACGAAAACCAAAGTACCCGGTTCTCACTATACTGACACACCTAAAAGCCAGCATCACTAGATCGCTAAACACGAATGATAAAATTAACTAGCACAACAGAACCGGAACAACCAAAAGACAATTCAGAATTTTACATCCCCTTTCCTTCCTCAATTTTCAACAACGACGAAAACCGAAGTATCTGGTTCTCTCTGTGTTGAAGCACGTAACATTCGCTTACGAGCAGATCGTTAGATGCGCTAATTATGAAATTAACTAAGGCAAAAGAATCGAAACCAGAAAAAGCTAAACCCAAACCCCGATTAGATGGAGAGAAAAAGACTCACGCACAAAATCGCAATTATATCTATATGATCATGAGCAGAAAGTAAAACGGCGAACCTTGAGACAGTTGATAGGTGTTGGCGAACATCGAAGTCTTGATCGGCTCTTGATTGCATTAACATAGGAGACAAGAAGAAGAAGAAGATTAGAATCGGAGACATACGCATAACCTTTTTCATTCTTCAATCTCTCGATCTTCCTCTTTAAATTAACGAATGAACTTAAGCTGGAAAAGGAAAGGAAGCACTAATTCTGTTCTATGTGAACAATAACAATTGTACAGGCCATGAGATTATACCACGGTCTAGAAATTATGATTTATTTATACTGCAACGGATTTAGCCTGTGTAGAGGGATGAAGTGACTGGTCGTGCATTGATTCGAGGACCAAGATGGTGACTAAAGCTACGACGTCGTTTTCACGCACAGTACAAGATGATGACATCCAACCAATCAAATAACGCCACGTGGGCAATTTTTTTGTTGGTTGCCTTCTTGCTGTTCGGGTTCCAGTCCGTTTCTACCAGTTCAATCCGTTCTCTTGGTTCTTTTAAACCTACACGGCTCAAAAAAATTGGGAAGGATCGATCTCTGTCGCGTCCGCGGGGCGGGCTTTTTTTTGTTCATAGGTAGTATAATGAACAGACTTAGGCATACCCGAATCTGCCTGACCTGGGTGGAACAAAGACCAATCCGCCAAAAAAAGTTTCCTCAATTAAATTCCATTTGAAATCCATTCGATTTTGGATGAAGCCCAACCAGTTCGAATCTAATTAGACGGGCCGACGTCACTCATAATGCAAATCATGTCATAGCCTCACATGATTCTTCAAGTAATTGAATTTTTTATGAACAATTTTAAGACAACGTAATATAAATCAAATCTCCTTTCATTCATGAAGAGCAGCTTGTAAAATGCCGGTTACGTGAACCTACGTTAGTGCAAGCTCATGCTAAACATCTTTCTCTCCAAACAATATTGAATTGTTTATAATTTACATAACAATTTATATTCTCTTTAACTTATATTTAAATATTTAATTTCATATTACCACCCCGTATGAGCTCTAGCAAATTGTGGGGGCAATTCTTGAGAAGCCCCAACTAGGCCCACGAGCCAGATTTTATACATCAATCTACAAATGATTACATGAAAGTTTTCTTTGTTTGATCTATATATCCTTATATTAGTGGTCCACTGTAAGAGTATCGACGAGCAATGCAATATGAACCAGCTATTTCCAAATATCTTGAATTATGTAAAAGGTGATTATCACAAATCTCTTTTTCTCCCTACTGGCATAGAAGAAGAATCCCTCTAAAAGAGCAATCCTCCATGTGTTTGTCATCAAGCTTACAGCCATAACAACTAAAACAAGCAACTAAAACATATCCCGTCACCAACACTCTGGACAAAAATTCTAAAAGCTAACTATTATTAGAAGAGCACATAAAAGTACCCCTGTGAGACAGCAGCACTTTCCTCCTCCCTCTGGATCTTAACTAGGGCATCATCATCAAGCAACAACTTCTGCTCCCTCTTGGAGAAGCATCTGATCAAAGTGCCAGACACCTGAAATTCCAAAACGATCATTTAGACCAGAAATCACCTCAAGAAATGGAGTAGAACAAACCAAGTTAATCGAACAAAAATTCGTTTTGAATGCTTACCATGTCCTTTGCCCACTCTTCTTAGCTGAGCAACATACTCTGATATTTTCTTGATGGCTTCCACCTAGAATAATAACAATTAGAATACCAAGATTAAACATGATGATGCATAAAATTCCCACCATCTTGACCACAAAGAAAGGAAATGACTCCATACCTGTTCGTTCAAAAACTCACTTTCGATAAAATCTGTCAACTGCACGTCATTGTTCTTTGCAGCCACCTGGTTTAGTTAAAATAATGAGAAGCAAGTCATGAATCAGAATGCACAAACATTTGCTGGTCAACCTAAGTCCTCAGAAGCCAAATGTTTTCATCA